ACTGGTTCTGATTATACTTTTTTCAGCTTGTCATGGCGTCAAATGTTTCAAGTGAACAAAGTATACTTACTATACACATCTTGACTTGTTATGTTCATTTTTTACAAGCTTATTATATTGTGAGACAATGCTTGTATACCTTGTACCTTAAAAAGTAATTTTGATATCTATATATATTAGCCAATAATTTGATAGCAGGTGCCTGCTGTTTTCTCTCTTGGTAATTGTTGTGATATTCACTGATTTTTACGAAGGCATGTTCAAGAATCTGTGTTTTAGGGTGAAGGAAGTTTTGTCAACTTCTCACTGTAATTTTACTTCAAATAATGAGTCTAGTCTTTGGAAAGAATCCAAAACTACTAGTCTTCTTTAGTGTTTATAGCATAGAGTCACAAAATGATCAAAATGGCCCGAAGTAGCCTCAAATAGCTGTGTAGCTGTTAGCCTGTTATCTTAAATAAAAATATTTTTTTTCAAAAAAAAAAAAAAAGGCAAAGAAGCAAGCGAGTTGAACAGATCCGGGCCAAAAATGGTCCAAAAACCGATTTTTGTAACGAAGAATCAGATTTTGTGCACACTAGCCGTTTAAAAATTGCATACATAAAGTTTGGCTACGAAAAATCTCAAAGGATGCTACCAAACTATGCATGTGCATTATGTTCTTTTATACTAAATTTGGCAAAATAATATAATCCAAATTTTATTTGTTCGACTGTTTCATCCACAAAACATAAAAATATAATTATTAAACTAAAAACCATATATTTTTTTGATTAAAAAACACAAAATAAACTTTGAATAAAAAAAGAACTTAAATGACCACGAAGACGACATGGTATCATGATGCATGTATTTGGACCTAGAACAATGTCAATGACAAAAGACTCATCAAATTATATGAAACTAGTATTTTTGTCACTTCGTGCGTTGCGGCGGAGAATATTTGTGCAAAGTGGACCATAAAAGTATAAAAATAAAGGTTTTACGTAGAAAAAGTAACATTGTTTAAGGAAAATCACATAATCTGTCATTTCTTATTAAAATTTTTAAAAAAATGATTTTTTCGTTAATTTGGGCAAAATCTTAGATAATCGGGACTTTTATGTTAAAAAAAATTTAGGACTTTTTAAAAAAGTTTCCAAAATAATGAGACTTTTCTGCATAAAACCCTAAAAATAAAGTTTCGATCCAAACAACTATATATGGAGGAAACAAACAAAAATAAGGTTGTTCCATGCCCCATTTACCTAACTCTTCCTAACAAAATGGAATTCATATATGTTTTTCATGCTCTCACTCGACATCTTAAATAATTCTTACAACCATTTACAATGTTGTCCGGACCTTGTTGTTCCATGCCTCAACAATGACACACCATTTCACAAACTATATCACCAAAAAACTCGCATAAACTCATATTCGAGTGTTTGGTTGTTTATGTTACCCAAACTTCAACACTCCTAATAAACTTTCCTAAGAAAAACCTCATGCATATTCCTCAGTTAACCATCCAGCCATCGGGGTTACCAATGCTTAGATCTTGCAACCAAAAAAATCCTCGTCTCAAGACATTGTCT